TCACTTGATTCGAACGTCAGGAGTCGATTGGTCCACGTGAGCTGACCGTGTAGTCAGCTCTCTCGTACTGCTGGCTAGAGTCCGCCTCAATAAGGTTCCTTCGTACTGTTGATATGGGGCGGACTATTATTTTGACCCTCAGTGTTTCATAGGCAGTGTCTAGATCTAAGTGCCTGTTGATTGAGTTCTTCCCCGAGTACCAAGCCTCGATGAACTCGCATGCTTTACGACTTTTCGCCCTGCCTATGATCCTGATATTCTCAAAATCAAATTGATGATTCTCGGCGTCCATATGTACCAGCGTCAGGGAGTTCTGGACATGTCGGCAGATGGCTAGGCTATGCTCGTGTAACCTAGTATCGAACTTTCTTCCTGTCTGGCCCACACAGTACTTGTTACAGTTTTTGCAGTTTTTTCTCAACAGTCTAGTAACTAGACATAGAGCCAACAAAGCCATGGAAATCGGTGGATAGGAGACAGTCATTGCGTCATAATCATCGTGGCATGCTAGTTGAAGGTGAACAACACACTTCAGATAATATGCAGCAAGAAGAATGGAACATTTTGATAAAAAATAGAACAAAACATTTTTAGTTTATTTGTCACACGCCGATTTTTCTCTTTTTTTGTCATGTTCAATGTTGGTAGCATTAAATCTGTGAATCAATACAACACTGTACACAATTCTTCCACTGATTCCGGTTGCGGGCCATGTCTTCACGAGTCCTAAGCCATTGGCACTCCTCATCTTTGGGTCCCCATCCTGGAAGATGTACGGATCCAACAGCGGCTAGACACGACATAAGCGATTTCATGTGTTGCCGCCAAGTGGAAGGCTGACCACCACGCGGTCGCTTCCAGCCAGGTCCTTGACAAGCGAATAGAGCGCGACGCGGTATACGCTCAAGTGCCATTCGTAGGACATGACCGAGACATCTTAACTGGCGCAACAAAACCAGTTTGTTGAAGGAAATACTTGCATTCCCCAAGATGCGAGGTCGAAGGTCATTACTATTAACTCGATGCTGCCACCAAACCCGAACGATCCTCCTTAAGCAACCGTTATCGAATGCAGAAAGACGACGCATGTCATCCACGCAAATCGGCCAGGACTCGCACCCATACAACAATACTGAGCGAACTGATGCGCTGTAGACGCGGTCCTTTAGTGAGAATGAGACGTCGCGACGACGCCAAAAGTGCCTCAAATTGACAAATGCTGATCGAGCTTTAGCGATACGAAGAGAAACTTCTTTGCTGACAGTGCCGTCAGCGGAAACACAGCTTCCAAGGTAGACGAAACTATCTACCAGTTCAAGCTATGCACCTTTGAGAGTGAGTACGGGAGCAGGTGAAAGCCAATCCTTGAGCAGCACTTTACACTTCGATGGGGCGAAGCTCATGACATACTTGGATGCTTCAACCGCCAAACGATCCAGAATGAGTTGCATACCCTGAGGATCGTCAACAATTAAGGCGATATCATCAGCATAATCTAAGTCGGTCGCGCGCTCACCCGATGGAAGCTCTAGGTCGAAATATTGGAAACCTTCTAGAGCATTCGACAAAACCTCTTCGATTGCGAAGTTGAAGAGGAATGGGGATATAGGGCAGCCCTGTCGCACACCGCTATTGACAGCGAATTGCGAGGAAAGCTTGCCATAGACCCTCGCTCTGCCGCATGTATGAAGGTAAAGTGCTCGTAAGATGGCGGTATATTTCTCTGGCACCCCGTCCTTTTGCAAGCAACGCCATAAAGCAGGTCGATCAACGGAGTCAAAAGCGGCACGTATGTCTAGGAATGCAATGGTAGTAGACCTGTGCTAAATGTGGCGATGTTCGAGGAGCTGGCGGAGTGTGAAGAGTTGATCCACGCATCCGCGGCCAGGACGGAAACCAGCTTGTTCTTCACGGTAGTATGATTCACGTACTGCGGATAGTCTACGAAGCAGAACGGATGCCAACAGCTTAGAGGAAACCGAAATAAGACTAATCCCGCGATGACTTGTACATGAAGTGCAAGCGCCTTTCTTGAAAATTGGGACAATAACTGATTCGCCCCAAGAGGAAGGCACTTTCTCTTCATGCCAAATTTTTGCGAACAGCACGGTTAGCTGGTTAATGATCGCCACACCGCCATACTTAAATAGCTCCGGAGGAAGTCCGTCTAAGCCGGCAGCCTTGAAGCGCTTCAAGCGTCGAATCTCGAGGCAGACTTCTGCTTCGCTGGGTGGATTCAATGGGACGAGCCAGGGTGGACAACAAGGTGTACTGCATGTACTGATGTATGGTGGAGGCCAGTTGAACTGCGAGTGAGTGCTCGGCCCAGCGGTCCATACGCCTCTGTTGGTTGGTGATCGGAGACTCATCCACCTCACAAATGACCTCACTGACACCAGGCTTCCTGAAGTCAGGGGACCGAATGAGTTGGAAAAGCCTGCGAGTGTTGCCAGAGAGGACAGCGGTCTCAATCTCTAAAGCACGTTCAGACCTCCATGCCTCGCGATCCTTGCGTAGGCTTTGTTTGAGCAACCGGTTGGTAGAACGGCGCCGCTTGTTGCAATCTGATTCCGCGGGGATATCTTTGCGGCGTTCGAACAGCTCCAGAGAACGAGCAGAGATCCAAAACTTCAAAGGGAGTCGAGTTAGGCCGCACCATGACTGTCCGGAAATGGGCATCGCTTTCCGTATACAAGTCCAGTGTTGTTCCATTTCTTGCGGTGGATTGCAACTGAGTGCATATGCCAGTGAAGACTGATAGCTCGCCTGGACAGAGGAATCAGTTAATCTGTTTACATCAATCTTGCGGTGCTTCGTGTTTCGGGATCCTCCAAAACACATACAGATTTTCGCGCAGACCAGAGCATGATGTGAATCAACGAAAGTGGACCAAAAGGACCTGCAGTCCAGTACGCTGCCGCGCCATCTGAAGCCAATCGCAATGTGATCAATTTGAGACCACGGTTGTGTTGGCGAAGGGGGACGCCACGTTGCGCAACGCTTCTTCGTACGCCTGAAGCTAGTGCTCGAAAGAAACAGACGGTTGTCCTAGCACAATGTGAGAAGTCTCTCTCCGTTATCAGAGCGGTTCTCATCGAGCAAGTGATGATCACCAAGGTGGCATTCGTATGGTAACAGGCGGCCAACCCGTGCATTAAAATCCCCAGCAAGGATAACGACATCCGACTTTTTAGCATTAGTCAAGAGCTGATGTAGATCTCGGTAGAAATCGTCCTTGACCGAGTCGCCACTGCAGTCAGTTGGAGCGTACACAGATCACAAACAAGTTGTGTCTCTCTTCGCGGTGCCTGTTGATTCTACATGAACCCCGAAGCCGAACTGCACATAGTCGGCTGTTAATAGGGAACCAGTCCAGTAGTGCCGCCTCGGCTTTCCCACTTAGTGCTATACCTACATCAGCCAAACCCGCTGAGGCTGTTTCTGGATCTCCAGAAAGACGCAGGTGATATCTGGCTTCGTGGTCAGTGGGGGATGTCAATGTAAGCACAGTGCTGGGATCTTGCAATCGGGTTTCTGAAAGGCAGTAGACATCAACGTCTAGGGAATCTAGGGTGCGCGCTAGACCGGCTTGCTGTCCATTCTGCATGAGCGTCCGAACGTTGAAGCACGCCAGACGGAACGAGGATCGGGGACGAAGGAGAGCCATAGGTTGAACTTCTTGGTCTGCGGCGCAACCGGAATCGAAGCCAGGTTGTTGAACACATGAATCGGGTAACCGAAAGTGAGGATTGTTAGCAAACAAACAATTGGCGTGTGATGAAGTAGCGTGAAAGTGAGTAGCAGGAACAGTAGCTGATGAGCGCGTTGTAGTACAGTCTATGGTTTTGTGAGGGGGCGTGATACTACCCGGTTGCCCAAGCCGAAGTAGGGAGTTGACTTAGGGGACTCCACCCCGAGCCTTTGGTTAAATAACCTACTCGCAAGGCAGCGGGGCGAATTTAGGGAATCGCGCCCATTGGGAGGCGTTGACAGAATGATCAGCTCATGCGTCTTTGTTTGGTAGATTACCAAACAGGGACCTAATACTCCCCATGGAGTCAGCACAATTGCGGGAATACAATGCCCCACGGAGGTGGAACATTGTCGCCGAACACTTTGCTGGAACGGGGTACACGCGAACCACCCAGCTGGCACCACGAGGAGGTAGTTCGGCAGTGGATTTTTTAAATCACACCACTTGTTTTTTCTTTGCCAAGCCGGTCCATTGGGTGATCGTGGCTAAATTCTGTCTGACACCATGTCGCAGAACTCGGTCCTTTGGGGACAAACGGTTTATTCAGCAAATCGAAGCTCAGGAAATTGACAGCCTGACAAGCATATAGGGATCTCGATCTAAATAACTAAGTCATTTCAATAACTAACGACGTTACTGGATTAATGAGATACTTCCTCTGAACCAGTTAAACAAACCAGCTCCAGCGAACCAATCAGCGCGAAGACGAAATATGCGCAGGCCTCCAATCAACTGCTCTGTTCGCATGCGGCACGCTTGCCGCTTGCTTGCACAATCCGATCACACTGGTGACGTTAACGAGCACCACATTAATAGTAGAAGCTTTCCGTCTCTGATCCTATATGGTAGCATTAGTTGTGTCATGGGGACCAAGCCTTAATGCAGAAGTGATAACCTTCGAGAACGTTCATCACACTTCCCGTAGAATGGATAATAGTAAAGGTAAGGTTCACTAGTGAGACCACCTACAAGGTAGCCGAGTTCAACTTTGCTCTATGATTTTACACGCACTCGCGAATGCTGACGATCTCGGGCACAAGTGTATAAATCGCGAACCTATTAATTCTGGTTGGTTTGAGCTGGCGAAATAGAGGCGGCTTCCAGAGGCTTGCGCAACGAGTCAGTTTTCAAGTAGAATATCAAACGAAAAGTTTGAAATCAGGTGTGCGCCAGGTAAATGAACGACAATGGTGATATACGGGAAGTAGTACGACAAACTTATTTGCAGAAGATAAAGTCAACTTACATCTGTGTGTGCTTCTGCGGCGGGGAAGCATCCGAATCCGAACTAGAATCCCACTTTGGAAGCCTAGATTGGAGCGTCTTTGGGGTGAGGTTTGGAGGAGGACTGAGGCGTAACTGGCTCATGAGACTGAGAAGGTTCGACTCGTTGACACATGTGGCGCGGTTGGGCTTCTTCGGAAATTTATTCACACTCTTCTTAAGAGTCTTCATTCGACTAAGTTGCGTTTCCGTTTCAAACTGTTCACACAGGCGAGGATGAACCCTTTGAAACTCGACGATCGGGACAGGAAAAGCGTATGCATCGACCAATTCACCGATGCACGACTGATCGGTATCACTGGCAACTTTTTTGCTGGATAGCACAGTTTTCCGTGTCCATACATCAAAGCCTGCAAAATGTCCAAAACAAAGGGAGTCGACCGAAGCATAAGAAAGTATAGAAAATTGGAAGAGATAAACGGATAGAAATCGTATCCTACCAGTAAAGTGAACACCTAGGTCTTGAGGGCCGAGGTGGAAGATGATAAGCAGACTACTCACAGCAACCAAACGACCATACAACCCCATCAAACTCATTAGCACACAGGTTTGTGCTGAAACACGAGGCCCGTTGGTGTCCATGATTGCTCCCTGTAGTAATAGGCAGAATCGTAAGATCATGGAGAACGAAAACAACGCCATTGACAGCTGATGCATTTGGCAGTTGTTATTGTGGTCAGCAGATGTCAGAGGGTACGTGATGACCTCAGGGCATAGGAGGCACGGTGATGAGATGATACGCCACGTTTCGGACCCTTTCTGCCTTCTTTTCCCTTTCAAGTAGTAACCATGTCGTAGGCTACAAAGCAGCGATACCAGATAAAATGGGTTATCCGTTCCATGGAGTCACGATTGAAATCAACTGGAGGTACAATATGCTATACCAACAGGTGATCGACCTGGATCAGCATTAATCAAATGAAAGGTGAGGCAGGCTAGCTAATAACGACTGCGTCAGAGGATGAGTGATAAAGAATTCGTTTCGCTATTTTGTGTGTTTCTTTCTTTTCTAGGGTAGGCGTAGCACGATGACAAGTTTACCATTTAACCTCCTAGATGGCTTGGCAGTATGGAGACTCTCATAAGCAATTGGTATATGAATGCTACGTAACTGCTAACGGAGACAGTGAATAAGATCGTAAACTCCATATGGATGAAAGATGCACGTATAATGGGTGGGAAATTTGGGAAAAACAAGGATCCTTGGTTAGAATATCCCAGCAGAGAGGAGTTGGGAACCATGCAGTGTCAAGGAGACGGTCAACTAATAGTAATAGAGATTGTGGTAAATGAAAAAACTAGCTGTGGAGAATAACTGCGTAAACAAAACCCACTCGTTAATGCATCAACGAATAAGCGGCGAACTACGCCTGATGAGTAAATGTGCAGGGGTGATGTGGACAGTCCGTTAGTATGCCGGACAGAGACGCAGGCGGCCCATGTGGATGGACAAATAGGAGAGGTCTAGTCATATAAATAAGGTAGCATTGGGCATCGGGTTCGAATAGCAAAGTGCCGGGGAAGAGGCGTAATGAGTCGGAATCGAGCCAAATAAGATGGATATGGCTACCGTTAAAACCACTTTAGTCCCACATAACAATCATCAGACCCCGAGGATCGAGCCCTAAATGAGGATAGTGGTCAGCGAGAAATGTGCCGAGTGAGATGGTAATACGGCAACTGAACACCTCGTGTGGAGTGAGTAGAAGGATGCCAGGCGCAACACATCGCAAGTGGTAAAACAAAATGGATAGCATTGATGAAAACCTACCCAGGCGCTTCCATTCCACCTCATAGGAAGGCACAAAATTCACTGTCCGTTTTCTGATAATCCTAAAATAGAAGGATGTTCTCCAGTCTCTCAATAATGACGTGTGAGGTCGAGCACGAGCAAGGGTAAATGGCGCACTAAGATATAGCTGCCGAAGCAATTTCTCGTTTCCGCGGTTAAAAGTACAGATGAACTCAGTTATTAGAAGCCAAACGCGATGATTTAAGTGGCAAAGTGGGGGCGTCGTAGCATGCAGGACTAACAAACATGGTCGCCGCAGCTAGAAGAAGGGAGGCCTAGGAGGACGCGGTGACATATGGGTATCACGCTGGTGAACAGTGAAGTTAGTGACGCGCAACAATCTTGCTTTAAAAAAAGAAAGATGACGTAGGCGCGCACCCAAAGGAGAAATTACCGCAGATGTAGTGTAATAACAACTACAGGATTAAGTAAAAGGTGCACACACAGTTTGAACAGAGTACACGTGGAAAAACGTCTGAAAACGCCGCGGATGGAACATATATACGGGTATCCATAGAAGTCACCAACTAAGATACCGAGGAGATGTGAGAATTTGGCACTATATTACCAAATGAAGATGTTGACATCTACAACCACGATTTCACAAACAAGGCATCTGTTAAGTGCGAGCAATGCGGGTAAGCACAGACGGCGGAACATGAACGGGGTAGCGCAGGTCGTACTATCTAGAGGGCACGTTTGCTTGACGATTTATAGAAGTCTGCTGCAGAGTCTCTACATACAGACAATACGAAAGTAGCTCAGTAAAAAGGACGGAAGATTGTCGGATCGTCACTTACCGTATGGGAATTAGGGTAATCGCGTCGTCCGCAAGAGACTCAAAGGATGGAGAAGTGACGGAAGTTAGTAGTCTCGGATGTCGCATGTCCCACAATGCAAGCACTGGAAGCAATTGACGTAAAGTGTAATCTGGGTCCCAAGCGAGTTGATCACGACAAAGCGATACAAGTGCACGAGGATTCGGTCGCCTCCAAACGGCAAGAGTGGATGGTACTAAGAGATCCCATCCACGACACTCGGGGGTGGAAAGGTACTCGATGAAAATCTGAAACAGGCGATGGAAACCATACATGCTGCTAGTCATAACTGATGACAAGTGAAAAATCAAGCAACGTCCAAATGCTTGGTTTCTTCATAGGAGTATCACCCGCTGCATGGCCAGATGGGCTCAACATCCCAGGGAAGCACTGGGCGCATAATGCGTTCAGTCTCTCTGGAGTATAATACCAGAGATTCAAACAATCAAAAATAATACGGAAACGTTGTGGAAGGAACATCGAACAAATCAAGTGTTAGACATTTTAGTTAACCGGAGTTCAGACGCATCCCCGAAGGTATACGGGCAAATAACATTGTTTTTAACAGATAAACAATAATGAACTTTTCCCAAGGTCATTATAAACCAATTAATATCAACGTACACACATTTCACGGCTACCAAAAAGTGCTCACATGGTTTCTGAAGGTCAGTAAGAACGGGTTGTTTTAGGAATCATAACAACCGGTGACAGTCTGCCCACAAATTGCGAAAGTGCCATTTTTGATGAATGGGTTGATTTCTAACCCTCAACACTACTAAAACAATTCAAATAAATATCATCGTCAACTAGTCCGTAAGATAAGCAGAGTCGTAGTTTCATGTAGCAAACCATTAGAGAGGAATCTCCGAGGAGTCCCGTCACAAAACACGGTCATATAGACGAAGAAAGGTGAAAAGCTATACAAGGTCTGCATGAAATTAAGCATGAAGTATGAAGATCACCGTGAACGGAAAAAGGAATCTAAAAAATCCCGCAAGATGTTACGAAAGGCCAGAGTGGACGCAACTCAGCAATCTGATGTCCCATGGGAGGCACAATACGCTCAGATTCAAACCATTGAAGTATGTATGCGCAATTTATAAATCCTGCACTCTCAAACTGGAAGAGGCGGTAACAGAAGTATTCGCTGGTTGATTTATTTTTAGCTCAATGCTGTGCTCGGACGAATTTACTGTTTATACGGGTATAGAGGCAGGGCCGCGCATTAGACCGTGTTGTTCCCATTTGGGCATTGTAATCCACCACGAATTTGGTGACTGAAGTAGATCAGTGACATACGTTGAGCGGAATTATTGTAACAGTTAGTAATGTTCATCCAAGCCTCTAAAGGTGCTTCGGTACAATAAGCGAAGTTGGCGTTTTGTATGATGCAATTACAAAACCAGAAGCATTTAGGCGAATTATCATGGAATATTGTGAAAAAGGTGAAACCACCGTACCGATAGGTATATCGATCACAGGTGGTGTCGTAGTAACCGGACACAAGTCAAGTGGGTACTCTCCAGCGATGTGAAAAGGAAGGGTGGTAGGAATGCAGGCATCACCATGATACAGGAATGTTGGCCGAATCTTGACGTGGAAGATGTTCATCAACGGCGCTTGTTATCCATCAGGCCCGACCGTTCAGAAGGAATTTGGAATCGGGTTGTTATCACTTGTGCTAAACATTCTTGGAATAACTCAGCAAGCAGCTTCGCCGTTCACGTAGTCAAATGTCCTAACAAGTTATCAATTGGCCGCATCATAGCCGAAACTCCGACATGGTCATCCATCGGCTGTCATCAAAAACGTGTGAATATATGTAGTTTGAATTGATGTTGTCAGTAGGTCAGTTTTCTTCGGTGGTACTGACGACAGCAGAAAGCCCGATATGCATTATTGCTGGACAGACGAAGCTGGAAACGTTCCCGGTTTTACTGGAGGCGCAGATCCCTACATACACATAACTCATTTATTTTCCATACAAAACGCGCTAAACAATCAGATAAACGCATCTTAAAAAATGCTTCAGTGAAACTGATTAGGTAGCACCACTGAAATGATCCTACAAAAGCATCATAAGTCAGAATCGTTCAACCGGCAATATCACGTGGCTCCCCTCAAATGATTTCGCGATTTTCACTACCGTTAATCTGTCAGTTTATTGCCAGTTACGTCAATCGGAGCACGTCACTAGGCTGCCCTGTTGAAATGACGTAGTCATGGATAGACCGATTTCCTCCACCATTGCTCAAACAAGCAAGAAACCGAAACCGTCAGTTGCACGCCGCCAGAACCAGTGGCGCGTGGGCTGGGTACACCACAAGGACGCATGCTTCTACGCGGATTCGAACCGGCGACTTTATGAGTGCAAATCAGGCGCACAGACTACTCGGCCACCGGCAGACAAACTGGAAGGAATAGAGAACGAAGTTACGCATACAAAACAAGTACCTGGTCAAATTTAAGTTCGGAAAGAAAGGAGTGAGAATAAGTCATTGCACAGAGACAATTTTAAGCGACCAAGAGTGTCGTGATCTATGAGGTTGTCCAAAGTAGCTCCGTGATAAAACTGCTTACGACCCGATTGGCACAGTGGATAAGGACACACACAATGGTGAGTCCGGTGGATCATTGTCAAACACATTATATCTGCATTCGTTCATAAGCTGTCACTACGATGGCATTTCCTCACGGCGATGTCCGCATGCAGGCTAAAAACGATGCCAAAAAACCTAGTTGTCTAAGTGGTTTTTTACGAGTAGTTTTAAAGGAACGGACTACCGACTCCCTCACATTTCATCTCAAGTCAAGTCTGTTTAAGCTTTATGTACCCAAAAAGTGCATTTGCAGTATTTAACATAATCAACTGTAAATTTACCCTCCTAAGTTTACAAATGGGTAGAAAAAAGATGCATTGTCATAGATCGATCGAGCAACGACCCCAAAAAGCTATACTACATCTTTGGAAGTTGTATCCATTGTAAACGGAAAAGTTTCATAAAATTTTCTTCAGAGTTCGTTTCAACTGAAGTGGAATTTTGTGTCAAAGATCAGGGATCGCGCGCGATATCTCGCCTGTATATTCAAAGTTGGATGGAGTCACAGGACGGGATCTGTGACCTTGGCCGTTAGTTGAACAAAGTATCTGTTAGCGTAATCTTGCAATACTATAAAAATGATGTTCGGCGTAACAGACAACGGTCGATTTAAAGGTCACGTCACCGACGGATATTTCTATTGTTTGACCCCCGGTGTCATCACCGAAACTTAACCCCAGATCGGAATAAGAACAGTGCCCAGAAAGAAAATCAGGAGTATAGTTCTTGTTGACTAGTCTCCTTAAAAGCAAATGTGCGAATTTTCACAATCACTCATACTGACGACGCCAATCGATATATTCGCTCCATACTGGGTTCAGCAACGTAACTTAATGTTATAAACCCCTACTCGGTAGACGAGCGCAGTCACGTATGCTTAGTGACGTTTTCCACGCGTCGAGCACATGATTAAGCAATTCCGACCGATTACACCCCCACGAATCCTAGCCACCGTGTAGACGAGGAGCGGAGACACTGCCAACTCAGTGACATAACCACGCGAGAAGAACGTGACCCCACGACCGCACCACAAACCAGAGAGGGAGAAGGGCCTTTAACATGAAGGATCGATTGAGGCAGCAAACGGCGATACAGGTAAGGACATCTTTAATTGACAGCACAAATAAGGCACGAGTTTTAATGAGAGGTTGTCTAAGAAAATCTGCAGCGCTGAAGTTTGGACTTCACGTGGTTGCAGTGCGAGCGTTACGTGGCGCATCCGAGTATTGGAATCTGTGTCACAGGTGCGTATTTTTACGGAACCACTTGAAGTTCAAGGAACAATTCCGCATTCAACATCGATTTCGTCTCCTCTTGCTTAACCATTTGTTGTGGCGCCGCTAAATGTATGGCATCCCTGCTGTAAAGGTGCAGCTGACCGTCGCCAGAAAAAAGTGATTTCCGCTGACTACGGATAACCTGCCTGTATCAACTGTGCCGCCCAGAACTAGTTCATCAGGAAACAAAATGAGAACGCCAAGACCAGACGGACCGAAGGATTCGGATTCGCATTGTATGAGATCACTGCGCAAAAAATTGCACGCAACTACTAAGAAAACAATATTGGAGAAGCTAATTAATAGTAAATAAAAAAAACTGAAAAACGGTTCGAATTCATGGTCTAACTTGCCGCTGATCCCACTAGATACGCGCTTTGATCTCTACTCGAGTTCGATCTCCAATTGTAAATCGATCTAATGTTGTGCCGCGCTTCCCGGCTTGTACGCTGGCTCTCCGTATCACTATGCAAACATCTCGACAGTTCAATGATGCCCAGTCTGATATTTAAGAACGGAGTCCACTAAAAGATTTGAAGACCGCAGACTGACAATTTCACAAAGCTTATTTACTTCTCCCAGTAAAGTGGTAAAAGACCCACCAACGCTCCGTGCTGATAGTGGTGTTCTATGGGGATCAATCTTCAGACATTTACTCTTGAGCGACGTCCTACAATGGTCGCATTTAGTAGACGTAACTGCACAGGCGATGGTATACATGGATGTGTGACTCCTGCTCGCGAGGTGTTTCCGGGGGTTCATCGCGGTTTGATGTGCTAGGAAGATTTTCATCATCTAAAGCTATAGTCCTTAACGAGTCTTAATGCATTAAAATATAGTTTCGTGCTGATAAGTTTCGGGTTACTGCAAATACCTCCTCTCCTCTGGCGGTAAGCAACGAAATCATGTGACGTTCAAGTAAATCGATTCCTGTTTATTCCAGACTATACAGGTTTGCGTATGGTGGTTCATAAAATCAAAAGATTATCTTTCAGTTCCATTTGAAGGAATGTGCATTTATGTTCTAGATTTGTCGCGGCACGCATTCCTCTCCACCGATTACTCTGCTCACAACATAGCACCATGCAAAAGGTGCTAGCTAATGTGCCATGATCGGATAGTTGACCAGGCACATTTCTATGCGCGGTGGCTTAGCTAGAGATTCTTCGGGATGGTTTCAGTGTTAGCATGTATTTTGATGCGTATGTTCAAGGGTCCCAAATGACCGTTTTAATGCACTATACAATGACACGATTCGATGGCTCGACCACGTGTTGCCAGTATATCGACTTCTGCGACGTGCATTGTCTGCGCGCCGGGTCCGTGGATGGAAGAAGAGGAGGGGTGGCCAAGCGATGACTAGGTCGAAAGCAATGAATGCCCTCACTTCGACGTTGGCCTCGGTTGAAGCCTCTTGGCACCCTAGTTGGATTCCGAAGGAAGAGGAATATTTTTCGGTGTGTAAGTTCGTCGCGGTTAGACAAAGGCACACAGCCGCCACACATCCAGGAAAGCGCTAGACGGCCGTTCCGTCCTATTGGGACTCGTCAGTAGCGCGCATCCTGCCGGATTCGAACCCACGACTTTACACTTGTAAGTCAGCGATTTACGTCACTGAGGCATGGGCGTCGGCAGCGGACCGCCATGGCTGACATCTAACTGCGACATAGCGCGGCTCATCCTCCACTGTCTTGCATGTTATGAATGTGCAGAAGACAGGCCTGGTCTCCAGATCAAAGTCGGCCAATTCGAGCCGCCACCCATCGAGGTGGCATGGGAGCTGCTAAGGCGACTATTAATTATTTGTAAGTGGTTTGTTGGTTTGTCTTTGTCTTTGGTTTGTCTTTAGCATCGTCACAGTTAGACAAAGGCAGACATCAGCCACACATTCAGGAAAGCGCTAGACGGCCGTTCCGTCCTATTAGGACTCGTCAGTAGCGCGCACCCGCCGAATCCTGCCGGATTCAAACCAATGACCTTACACTTGCAAGTCAGCGATTTACGTCACTGAGCCATGGGCGTCGGCAGCGGACCGCCATGACTGATATCTAACTGCGACATAGCGCGGCTCATCCTTCACTGTCTTGCATATTATGAATGTGCAGAGGGCCGGGCTGGCTGTCCAGAGCAACGATTTCCTTTGTAAGCCGTCACCAATCGAGGTGGCATGTAAGCCGCAAAGGCGACTACTGATTAGTTGTAAGTAGTAGGGGGATTAATCAGCTTTTGTACAGGTTCGTCGCAGTTAGACACAGGCAGACAGCCATCACACATCCAGGAAAGCGCTAGACGGCCGTCTCGCTTTAGCAGCTCCCATGCCACCTCGATTAGTGGCGGCTTGCAAAGGAAGTCTTGCTCTGGGACCAGCCCTGTCCTCTGCAGATGCATAACACGCAAGACAATGAAAGAAGAGCCGCGCTATATAGGAGTTAGATATCAGTCGCTGCCGACGCCCGTGGCTCAGTGACATAAGTCGCTGACTCGCAAGTGCAAGGTCGTGGGTTCGAATCCGGCAGGATTCGGCGGGTGCGCGCAACTGACGAGTCCCAATAGGACGAAACGGCCGTCTAGCGCTTTCCTGGATTTGTGGCGGCTGTCTGCGTGTGTCTAACTGCGACGAACCTAAACAAAAGGCTAATTAATCTCCCTACTACTTACTAATAAGGAAGAGGAACATGTTTGGCTGCATACACTTGTTGACATGGCCATGAGCTGACCTCAGTGACGTTCGTGTTGTGAGTTTCTTTGCCCCTCCCTCCAATCACGATCTCAGTTCTTAGCTTAATAGAAATTTTGCATAATATAAATTTTGGCGCACAATACCGGCTGGTAGCTCTCCGGAACGATGCCTATCCGTTACTGGTAGCTCAACTAGCATGCATCGGTCGCAATCTTTTGTTATTTTCTTTTATGTATTGCGATATAGTAGCTGAGGTGTTTTCCCCTCTAGCTAAAGTGCATAATGATAATGAGGATAATGCTATACAATGATGTATTAATGATATAACCGGTTGGTTCCAGGTGCCCAAAACCTGAAGTTTCGTCTGCTCCCATTCCGTCGTATCCTGATACTATCGTAACTAATCCGCTAAGCCCTCCATAAGACCTAGACAAAAACTTCGGTAGTATGCTTCAGCACATAATAGTGTGACACCACATACCATTTTGAAATTTTGTCCCATGTTTTTTGTATTTTATTTCTTTCAGGGATGCCACGTTTCGGCACAGCAGTAGCCGTGGTGGAATTTTGGGAAACGCTACACTTAGGGTGAATAAAGACTACGTTGACTAAGCATGACATATCTCTAACATAGATAATATATCAGTTGATCCAATGGGATGACGCCCAACACCATTTCCGAAAACCGAATACTCAGAAACTAGAAACGGATCGCAACAAGTCTGAACGGTAGTGCAGGCAAAAATGATGTGACGACAGCCACCAAATTTCGAATAAAAAAAAATTCAAACTCAACCGATAATGATGAGTGGGTATGAAGCAACGCTTTGAAACCATGAATCGCAGTCCAAAGACAAGAAGAGAAGGAAAGTTTAGTCATGCGACGCCAGTAGACAATGAGGTTAATCAACAAAAACCCGTTTTTGAACACTCCGACCGAACTACGCGATATATGATCCAGAGGCGGTTACTTGGAAGTGGAAGGAAGGAAATGAGGAGCAAATTAAGACGCTCACTTCGTCTATAGGGCACTCTTGTAATGACACACCTGTTTTGACCCATAATCGAAGTGTTTTCGCATCCAGTGTTCGAAAAAATGGAAATTCCAGAAAATCGCATTCCGTACATGGACGCCGAGTCTTCAGGAAGGATACCAGATGTACCAATTCTGCCTGCTCCAGAGAATCCATGGAACGGATCAGGCGCATAACACCGGCTTTTCCAACACCAGTTGCACCACTAGGCCAATAATCGCATCCAAGAAGAATGCTCAGTAGCACTAGGTGATAGCGTGTAAGTTGCAAATCAGTTTCCACTCGGCCAGAACGATATACACGAACGCTGGCATCCTGAAAGCGACAAAGAGCATAGTAGTGAAAACCAACTCATTAAAGACAAAAATACCACGGAAAAAGGATTAAGATCGAATCCAGTAAAGCACACTCACACTTCGAACCAGTGAATAAGCATGTCGCAATACAGAGTACGTAGTAATTGCCATGGTGGGGAGGATGACTGCTATGGCACAGAGATGGCTTTACGCACGCAGGAACAGACCAGACCAGCATCAGTCACGGCAACACAATGAACAATCAGGAGTGGATTAAAAATGCAATAATCCTAAGATAAATCAGGGCGACGGAATGCAATAGCATGTCAAGGATCGAACAGGAGTGAGCGCTCATATGCAATCGAAAAGTTTCGTGCCATCTGGAAAATAGCACTGATGGCAAGACCCAATTCAGTCAACATGGTCCATCTGACAATAGAGTGTAAGAATGAGGAGAATCGATGTTTAGTTGAACCAGTTGGTTGGTGTGTATAAAAACAGCAGTGAGAACCCTGAGCACTCTGCTCCCTAAAAGATCAAAAACTCGTGCTGACCTGAACACTTTATCGTGGCGACAACGGTGTAACAGTCTCGTTAGGCTTCTCTTTTAGCTAAAAGGAGGAGGACAATCGCGCACATCGACTCATGTAGAGAACATTTCCCGCCGATTTTGAGGAGTACGGTGTAGTAACAGTTTGAGTAAATGAATGGAAGTTATCCGCTCGGGTCTCAGCGTCCAAATAACAACCATAAGTAGCGCAACCGTAAGAAATCGCAAGATGTAATGACCGTCGTGAAGTCGAGGAAGCGCCATATAATCCTTAACACAAAGTAGGATGGATTTGCAAAGATATACCACCACTAATGCTTCCTTTCTTCCTCCTTCCTCAGCAACGAAATAATTGACCCCTTAGTTCCCACTTCACCTAAACTATCCAACAAAATTAAACATCCTACGGGATTATTTACCTCACTTGTGTCTCTAAACAATGGCTCACTTTCGCAAAAACGAAAGGCATCGGCAGTACGCCGGTACGCAGTACCGAGGCTTTGCTGCTGCGTATCCACCACTAGTTGCACGTAGGCCAAAGATACTGCGAGGGGCACCGGGTCCATACGTAGGGTCGAACCCGCGCCGTCAGAATACAAAGCAAGCTTGTTACCATTAGGCTACGGGTCGGCTTTCGCAGAAGACGATGAAGGTAAGAGGCAGGAAATTGCACACATCCCTGGACCGGAAAGAATCAGCGACGAGTGAGATGAATGGTACCGGTTGCTATGGAACGCAGTCGTTGTGATACAGCCAAACCTGTCTAAGGCGACCACACATGGTACCGACAAAAAGTGGTCGCCTTGAATAGGTGGTCGCCATGGACAGGTTCATGCATACGGATATTACCCATAGGAGAAAACGTTGGGTGTTTCCGGCTGGTCGCCATAGGCAGGTAGTCATCATGGCAGAGTGGACTGTATTTACGTTGAGGTGCCTTGCGTCATAATCAGCCAGTACCCTGCAGATAAGTTAGTAACAAAAAACCTTTAAACAGACAGTTCAACTAGGAGACGACAGCAGACATGCAAGTTGTGCCAACTGCAAGCCATGTCCCGTAACGTCGTAAGCCAAGCACCATGCGGGTCACGTGAACTCCACCCTGGAAAGCGAGAGCGACAAAAAGCACTTTTGCCAACCTCGGGCCTTGCGCCAGAATACAACTGGGAGACAAAATAAAGTGCTCGATAAGCAATGATCGGGCTAGGTAAAATGGCCCAAGCCAAAGCAACTTATTCAGCGCTAGCAGTTCTTCTAAGGAATTAGCCTGGTTATCGCTGCCTAGTATCCGTTTGTGCACATCATCGTTGCATACACGCTGGTGCCACCCGACACCAGCAATGCTTCGCAGACAGCGATAACCAAAGACTTGAAGACGCTACAGATCGGAGGCACCAAGTCTCATTCCCATAGAGAGTAGGACGGCCTCCAGTGTTGCCTTGGAAACATGGCATTATAGACGGAGGGAAACCCCGTTCTGAGGCACCAGATACAAGAAGACAGTATTAGCTTGGCAATATGTGAACTGACTTCAGTTAGTATGCGCCTACCGTTGCTGATACAGTTGCAAAGGAAAGTAAATTGAGAAACTACCTCGAGTCGCTCGCTATCGACGCTCAAAGCATTATCAAGTGGCCGGTCGTACTGCACTAACAACTAGCACTTTGAAGGTGCTAAGCGCATGCCAAATGATTGGACCACCTCAGACAGGATATTCAGAGCTAACTGGGCTACCCGAACATCGTTAGAAAGCAAGAGATTGACCACGTAATCAAGTAGTCTTTCAGTAGCAAACATCTCAAAGTCTGCATCGTGAGGCTCCGCAAGAGAACACTCCGTAACGGAGACCACAATAAAGCTGGATAGAAATGGGGGAAATGGACCCTGAAGTGTCCTGTCGTATTCGAGTAGAACACGTAAAATATTCACACAGTTAACGGAAATACTTTCCCGCGTAAGTATTTCGAATAGAATGCATTGGTCTACTGAGTCGAACGCACTGTTGAAGTCGAGAAACACACCTCGTGTCGGAAGGTGTTACCTGTGGTGCTGCTCTAGCACCTGCCCCTTCCTAGGCTGAAGCCTACCTGCGCTTCCCTAATAAAAGAATCTCGCTCAGAAGTGAGGCGAGGAAGCAAAATCGAGGCCAGTAATTTTAGCACAACTGGCATTATGCCAACACCGCTGTGGTTAACAGTCGGTGCAATTGCCATATATATATATATATATATATATATATATATTTGCAAAAGTCTGTTAACAGACATAATGCCATCAGAAACCATGGGATTCAAACGAAGGTACAGAAACAGTAAAATAAAACACAACACAACAATGTCCATGGTTTCCTCAGAGGGCGAGATACTACCCGGTTGCCCAAGCCGAAGTAGGGTGTTGACTTAGGGGACACCACCCCGAGCCTTTGGCTGAATAGCCTGCCCGCAAGGCAGCGGAGCGAATTCAGGGAATCGCGCCCATTGGGAGCCGGTGACTGATTGCTCAGTTCATACGCCTTTCGTTTGTTACTTTGTCAAACAGGGGCCCAATGCTCCCCAGAAGTACAGCATAAGGTTGCTGGAATACAATGCTTCGCCAGAATGAAGCAAGGGGCAGTGACTTTATTTAGTGGCGAGTCACATCCGCCACGTCACAGTGTTGTTAAACGGACATATGTGGCTTTTTATAGAGAAAACGCTTGCCAGGCGAAACCCCACCACGTCCTGGAACACTGCCGCCGAACCATTTGCTGGAACGGGAAAATCCCGAACCACCCAGCTGGCACCACGAGGAGGTTGTTCGGCAAGCCAGCCTATATATATATATATATATATATATATATATATATATATATATATATATATATATATATATATATATATATGTATATATATATATGGCTGGTGGCATTCGGATTTGCCTGTCAGTGTGGGCAACCACAGGACGCCTGTGCAGTCAACCTGCCAAGCTCAGCGAACACTCAGACAACCAACTGAACAACCTGAGCTACCAACATTTGCTTCTATAACGCCTGTGCTCATTGAGGGACCATGAGTGGCTTGCGCTGCACCACCCACAGCGCCATCCACACACCCCATATCCAGTGGAAACCCGAAGGAATAAGACCGCGAGGCATGCGGATGGGAGCCACGTTTCACCAACGGAGACGACCCACACTCCTTCACAGGCAAAAACAAGCACGATGTATTTCGGAATCAAGTGCACACAAGGCGGAGGCTGGACCGTAGTCCGCTCCACACTGTGTGTATAGAACCACTTGGAGCCTAGCACGACCACGAGGACCGTGCACCCCGTCTCCTCCAGCAATGACCAACTGTCTCCTGGAGCCAGTATGAACGAGGTAGTGGCTAATAGACAGGTAGGCATCTTGTCAACATACACAGCAAGCGCAGTCACACCGGGGATATCAAACAACAGCCAATCACTCAAAATGCCGATATCGAATAAAGTAAACGCATATGATGATATAAATACTCGCTAAATGAGCATATAAAGGAAATTGATTATAAGTGGATCCGTGATAAGTACAAAATGTCCGGGTTATTTAAAAAAATACCACGCGATACAATTACGCAAGTTTGCCACAATTTCCATGAGCGACGTGTGCAAGTTGGGAGAAGATTATCAAGTACACAGAACAAACCAAATAAAATGTAATGAATTTTATCCACATAAAAAACCTAGTTTAAGTGTAAGTTGGCTTAGCCCAACTGCGGTGAAGAAGCATCAAGAATGCAACATCAGCCTCAGCATGGGGTACACATACATACATGGTTAGCGGCATCCGGTTGCGGATTTGCCTGTCACTGTGGCCAACCACAGGACGCCTGCGCCTACAGAGGGACCATGGGTGGCTTGCGCTGCACCACCCACAGCTCCAACCACACACCCCATATCCAGTGTAAACCCGAAGTAATAAGACCGGGAGACACATCTCATCAACGGAGCCGGTCCACACTCCTTCACAGGCAAAAACAAGCACGCTGTATTTGGGGAATCAAGCGCACACAAGGCGGTGGCTGGACCGTAGTCCGCTCCACACTGAGTGCATAGAACCACTCTTCAAGCCTAGCACGGCCACAAGGACCGTGCACCCCGTCCCCTCCACCAACGACCAACTGTCTCCTGGAGCCAGTATGCACGAGGTAGTGGGTAATAGACAGGTAGGCACCTTGTCAACATGCACATCAAGAGCATCCACACCGGGGAGCTCAAACAACATCTAGTTCTGAAATACAAGATTACTCAGCACGCAAGCAAACGTACCACATACGCCGCCTAATTGGCCTGGGTTAGTAAATCGAATGAGAGCGTACGCATCATGGTTCTATTCCGCGTGCAATAGTACCTTCTCATGAACCTGAGCGACCGCCTTTATAATCAGTCTACGGAGTTCGCATCGATCAGATTTGCCTTGGATTCGCAACACCTGAAATCAACATGAGTTTGTC